CACGGCTCAGTTCTGCTCAATGACTACTTATGAGGAAGCCACTCAACAAGCACCAGGTGTGTCGCTGCCCTTCAGGTGCTCGCAATCCAGGGAGAAGACAGACTTAGGACAAGTTGTCTGACTACAGTGTGGGAGATACAGGAGCACAGATCAGGAGATCACCACACTGCCAATATCCCCTAAAAGGGTGACTAGGTGGGCACAGCTCATTATATGAAAGAAAACAGCCCCCTTGGTAGCTGGACATTAACCCACACAGACTCCTGGCCTGGGGAACAGGCTGTATTAATATATGTATTCCGTTTCTTCTAAAATCATCCTCTAGAGTCAGCCTGGAGGAGATACCTGGAAGTCCCTTTCCACAGAGGACCGTTCCCTTTTCCCTATCTACTTTGTCATTCAGCTGCTGCCTTTCTCGGTGAGGTGGGAGAGATCACTGTTTCTGGCTCCTTCCTCGGGGACCTCATAGTGAATCAAGCCATTCCTTTTTCATAGCGTGGCAGCTACAAACCAACAAACCACGCTCTCACCTCACGAACTGCTCTCAGAGTGCAGGATTATGGTCTCTTGGCTAAAACAGCTCCTTGTTACTGCAGATGAGGGTGGTAAGGAACACAAGGGTGACATGTCTTCGTATCACTGCTACTTTTGGATCTCTTTGAGCCCTCAAAAGGGGAGTTCAACTTCTTTGCCCTTAAATGAGTTGGGAAACTATGTTTAAGGGGGAACAAGGGCCCCCTGTGATTTACACAACCAGGAGCATTTGCCACAAGAAAGGCATCTTCCCTGGGTTCAGACATTCAGTGGGGTCAGTCAAGATTTGGAGATCTCCAGCCTGAGCAAGAGCGAGACCCCATCTCTACTAAAAATAGAAAGAGGCCAGCCCGGTGGCTCACGCCTGTAATCCTAGCACTCTGGGAGGCCGAGGCGGGCGGATCGCTAAGGGCAGGAGCTGGTAACCAGCCTGAGCAAGAGTGAGACCCTGTCTCTACTAAAATAGAAAGAAATTAATTGGCCAACTAAAAATATATAGAGTTGCAAATATATATATATAAGAGAAGAGAGAGGCCGGCCCGGTGGCTCATGCCTATAATACTAGCACTCCAGGAGGCCGAGGCGGGCAGATTGCTCAAGGTCAGGAGTTGGAAACCAACCTGAGCAAGAGCGAGACCCCGTCTCTACTAGAAATAGAAAGAAATTAATTGGCCAACTAATATATATAGAAAAAATTAGCCGGGCATGGGACACATGCCTGTAGTCCCAGCTACTCGGAGCTGAGCAGCAGGATTGCTTGAGCCCAGGAGTCTGAGGTTGCTGTGAGCTAGGCTGACGCCATGACACTCATAGAAGGATTGCTTGAGCCCAGAAGATTGAGGTTGCTGTGAGCTAGGCTGACGCCATGGCACTCACTCTAGCCTGGGCAACAAAGTGAGACTCTGTCTCACCAAAAAAAAAAAAAAAAAGTTTCAGCTTCTCTGCATTAGCCTATGAGCATTTTTGTTGCCTTTCTTTTGTTTTAATCCATTTAATTTTCTCTTCCATATTCACCTTGCTCCTCTCCCCCTCCCTCCATATGCATACACACAAATTCATGAAGAGAAATTGGGGCAAGAATGGATTTATGCCCACTCCCTTCCTAGATAATTATTCGGGGGCTTCTGAGCAATAGAATCCAGTCCTTGACCTGGATTCTTCAATGCAGCAGGTCCAAGTTATATTTGACTCATATCTCTCTTTTGCAGCTCTGATTTTTTAGGACAAGCAGGCAGGTTTGATTAATTTCTTTAATTTTATATCTATTACTAATCCTTTTTTTCCTTCCCATTTCTAGTGCTGCATTAGATGTGGAATTATCTGATGATTCCTTCCCTCCAGAAGATTTTGGCATTGTCTCTGGAATGCTCAATGTCAAATGGGACCGGATTGCCCCGTATCCTCTTGAGACTGAATGATGAAGGGTGGGAGGTGGGTGAGATGTTGCCTGCAAAGCAGTAGGGGCACTTTAAATAGGTTGGATATGCTTGGCTATTCTGCATCTCTCTGGATAAGATGGGGCAAGACAGACTGGTATAAATTGTGTGACCATGATTTAGAGTAGACCTAAAGAAGGAGGGTCCTGAAGTTCAGATTATAAGGCTGTGAAACATGCTATATATTGAGAGGATGTAGACATGTTTGAAGATTTTATGACTGGGCAAAGATGTTTAAGATGTTGTTTTTTGTTTGTATGTTGAGAAAGAGTCTTACTCTGTTGCCCGGCTAGAGTGCCGTAGCATCACCCTAGCTCAAAGTAACGTCAAACTCCTGGACTGAAGCAATCCTTCTGCCTCAGCCTCCCGAGTAGCTGGGACTACAGGCATGCGCCACCATGCCCAGCTAATTTTATTTGTATACATAGGTATGTGTGTGTATATATATATATTTTTTGTTTGACGTCGCTGCTAAAAAAAAAAAAATAGAAACAAATTAGCTGGACAACTTTACAAAACAAAACAGGCCGGGCGCAGGTCTGGCTGACGCCTATAATCCTCTAGCACTCTGGGAGGCCGAGGCGGGCGGCATTGGCCGAGCTCAGGAGTTCGAAACCACCTGAGCCAGAGGTAAAGACCCTCTCTACTAAAAACAGAAAGAAATTAATCGCAGCTAATACATAGATAAAAAAATTAGCGGCATGGGTGGCACATGCCATGATAGTCCAGCTAACTGGGAGGCTTGACGGCAGGAGATTGCTGAGCCAGGAGTTTTGAGGTTGCTGTGAGCTAGGCTGACGCCACGCCACTCATCTAGCCTGGGCACACAATTCGAGACTCTGTTCTCCACCAAAAACAGAACACAAACAAAAGTTCAAAAAACAAAATAAAACAAAC